GTCTGTGCAATGGAGGCATGGGGGGGGCTGTCTGTGCAGTGGAGGCATGACACAGTGAAAATGGTATTTAAAATACATATGTGTGCTGTCTATGGGAAGGAAGACCAATCTTGCTCCTACAAGCAATGATTCTGGTAATGCTTGTGGTTGGAAGCATCATAAAACAGTGTATGTGTGTCTACTGTTTTTGTGTTAAGATTAGAGCTTGCTGTAACAACTAGGTGTTTAAAGACACAGCTGTTACATTACCAGTATCTTTGATCAAGTCAGAGGCTGTTATTGTATCTAATATGGACAAATATTTAATTCTTAAGTATTAATCTCAGTTTTTAACTTTTGTGGAGTAAACTTGCTGTTTATTATTTGCTCTGTTTTCAGGCTTGTTTTTATCTGTTTCTCTCAATCTAATAAGCAAGATGTCTACTAATGAGAATGCCAATGTAGCAGCAGCTCGCTTGAACAGATTCAAGAACAAAGGAAAGGACACTACGGTGAGTATTTTGATGCAATTAGCATTTTAACTAGCCATCATCTCTTTAAATGTGAGTTATAAAAGCCAAGAACTTACTATGAATGTATATCCTCCAGGAAATGAGAAGGCGGCGTATTGAAGTCAATGTAGAGCTGAGGAAAGCTAAGAAAGATGACCAGATGCTTAAAAGAAGAAATGTTAGCACTTTACCAGATGATGCTACTTCTCCCCTTCAGGAAAACAGAAGCAATCAGGTAAGTAAGTACTTGGAACAGGTACACTTGGAGGTCTTGCAACATAAGCTCATGCAGCCACACTAGTATGAATCCCTTCTTGTGTGGGACACAGTGCTACTACATATACATTACCAGCTTAAATCTATACTACTAACACTAACAGACAACACTCTTAAAATGCAGCTTAGCCAGCTGTGTTTAAGCCTAGTGTAACAGTGGTGTGAAGTGCTTGATTAAAAAAAGCTTTCAGTAGTTTGGATGACTGTAGCTAAAGCTGTAGCTGAGGTTTTGGAGAATCACATAGTGGTATAATATTTTAATAAAGAAAGTGGTTGTAAACTGGGGTCTATTCAAAGCATTGTATAGAAGGCCCCTGTGGTCACGAAGACATGTGCCTCTACCAACAAAGCATTCATGTAACTTTATTCTACAGGTTTCAGCACACTGGTCAGTTGAAGAAATAGTCAAAGGAGTTAATAGTAATAACATGGAGCTTCAGCTACAGGCTACTCAAGCTGCCAGGTAAGGAGTTTAGAAGTAACCAATTCAGCTGTGCAAGCCAGTAACTAGGCAAGGTAAAAGAATTGGCTTATGAGCCTGAGTGTCTGCTTAGGGCAGCAGCTGTGGCTCTTCTTCTCAGATGGTATTTCAACAAACACCCGAGTCAGCCTTATATACAATGTTTAGGTACACTTAACTTAGTCATAATTGTATTGAAACCATGTGGCTTTTGAATGTTTAAAGTGCCTGAACGTTTTACTAGAAGTAGTAATTCTTTCTAGTGGTTTTGGGGTGGCAAAGTAAACAGTAGTCCATCTTAGAGTTGTAGGAGTAATAATAATGAACCCTTTGTTATAGCAAAATAAGGTGTCTTTAAACTGCTAACACTTGACTGCAATATTTGAGTGCAGTGATCTACCTTAGAATAATGTGAACAGTAAGATGACTGGGGTTTGAAGTATGCCAAACTTCCGTTCTCCTTCCAAATCTAAAATCTCCTTTAGCAAACTTGCTAAAGCAGCAGTGCTGCTTCTGGCAGTCCTTAGCCTGTCTGCTGAGAAACCTGTAGCAATTCAGATGTATCATGACTCTTGCAGGTCTGCTTTGTTTTGGAGTCTGAACAGAACCTCTCATATGGTGAAGATATGCCAAAGCCAATGTTAACAGAGGTTTAGGAAGCTAGTGCTCAGCTTGTCTGTATGTCTCCTTCAGGTCTTGTTGCATTGTCTTCTCTGAAAGTTTAGGCAATGCTGAACTTTTTTTAAAATATTTATTATTTTTTTAGACTGTTTAATCTGTTGCTCATATCTCTGCAGGCAAAAATAATGCTGTTTGTCTTTCTCCTTAGGAAACTCCTCTCAAGAGAGAAGCAGCCCCCCATAGACAACATCATTCGGGCTGGTCTGATTCCAAAGTTTGTCTCCTTCTTGGGTAGAGCAGACTGTAGTCCTATTCAGTTTGAATCTGCCTGGGCGCTTACCAACATTGCTTCTGGCACGTCAGAACAAACAAAGGCCGTAGTAGACGGAGGGGCTATTCCAGCCTTTATTTCACTACTGGCCTCTCCCCATACTCACATCAGTGAACAGGCTGTGTGGGCGTTAGGAAATATTGCAGGTATGTCAATATGCTATGCAACTCTATTTCAAGACCTGCTCCCTTATTTAAACCAGGAGGACATTGCTACTGACATGCCATGTAGTGTGCTGAGTTTCTTGGGAACTCTGCCTTAATGCTTTTCAAGAAAAGACATGCTCTGTGATGCAGAGTGTGCCACGGACAGTTCTTTATCTTCAGACCTGGTATAAGATGTCTCATACAATCCCTGGCAACCTGTGGGTTGCATTAAATGGGTTGCTTCCATATTTCAGTTCAGTTTTGATGGAGCTACATAACTATGCTACAACATAGGGCTTTTCCACATATCTCACTTGATGTTTTTGTGACTTACCAGTGAGCTCTGCTCTGTGTGTTCACTAGAAGGGGGAAGGGAGGAAGCAGATGGCTCACATAACTGTGTATGTGATGGCCAATATTCCCTGCTTTGAAACAGATACTCACTGATGTAAAGTATTATATACTGAAGTTTCTCATGCAACTTTCAGGATTACTTGATCTGCCAGTGTTGGATCCCATTCTAAAAAAAACCAACCTGATCGGAATTAATAATGTAGTTACAATATTGTATTTGCTGTATTATTGTTTCCAGCAGCTGTGCCTTACAGAGAATAGTGAATCTTCACACAGAGGAAAGGCTCAATAAAAGTTTTGTTTGGAATTTTCTTAAAGCTTGTCCTTAGAGTTTTTTAAGCTCAATTATAAGGCACTTTTTGTACCTTGCGATAGAATAATTAAATCAAGAAACTTTGTCATTTCTTCAGCATTACACTATAGAACCCAATCACGCAACCTCCATTTGAAGTCCCATGTTATGGGAAGAGCTCTGTTTTAGTGTTTCTTTTCAAAGAAACATGCAAGTCCCTGCTTAGTTATGAACTCTAAGAAAAGCTATATAGAAAACATACACTAAATTACCTCTTCTTCCAACAGGAAAAAAATTAAACTCAGTGGCTTGATTAGAAAAACACATGCTTGTCATATGGCCTAACCGTGTCTGTAGTCCTTTTGTCCTCTTATTTCTTTTTATTTTAGCTAACCCTTCTTAAGCAGTAGAATAATTCATCTAACACATAATGATTCTGTATGCACACATCCCTCTATTCTGGTCTTCACCTGGCTATTTTTCTTGTTTTCTCAGGGGATGGCTCTAGCTATAGAGATCTGGTTATTAAATTTGGTGCAATTGAGCCACTGCTGAGCCTACTAGCGGTTCCTGATCTCTCTTCTCTGGCTGTAAGTGTGCAGTATGATTCCAGTTACAATTACTAATAAATGAGCAAAAGAGCTTAAGCAACTAAACAGTTGATAACCATTTATTTCAACTCTTGCAGTCTGGATATTTACGCAATGTTACCTGGACTCTTTCAAACCTGTGTCGTAATAAGAATCCTGCGCCACCCATAGAAGCTATTGAGCAGATACTTCCAACTCTTGTTCGGCTTTTGCACCATGATGATCCTGAGGTGTTAGCAGACACGTGCTGGGCACTTTCCTATCTAACGGATGGTTCCAATGACAGGATAGAAGTTGTAGTGAAAACCGGATTGGTGCCACAACTTGTGAAACTCCTGGGATGTAGTGAACTGCCAATAATGGTAAGCTGTCAGACATGCAGATTGCTGTTGCTTGACTTGAGTCATGAGTAAAAGTGCAGTTAAAACAGTGTCCGCGTATGAAAAGAACCATGCAGTTACGTAAATCTGATGCTTGTTCTAGGTTTTGCGTAGATAAGACTTGAGCTTCTGTCTTGCCTGGAGACTGCCCCACATGAGGCATAGACTATTGCTGTTGACTACTATCAAGCTTCTTTATGTAATCATTTGATTTAATGTGCAGGCCAGCACAACCATCAACATCCTTTAAAGCTTGCTTTTAACTCTAAACCTACTGTTGCAAATCCACATTCTAGGGATGGTGCTTAGAAGTGGGCTTTGTGCACACTACAATTATAGTATACTAAAACTGCATTAGTACTTGGGAGATGGTTTTCCTAAGCTCTGACATGAGTAGCTGTTTGCAGACTGGCCTTGGAAGGTGTGCAGTCTTGGCATGCTTAATGTCTGCATGTGTAATGCTGATGAGGAGCTGAAAGCTCATCAGTACATAGCACATCATGCTGTTAACTGGAAAGGTGAGAGCGGAGGGGCATCAACTATGACTGTAGTTGTTCAAGCACAGATTAGATGATAACAGTTTTCCTAAGAATTACTTTTATATTTGTTTCAGACTCCTTCATTAAGAGCCATAGGAAATATTGTCACTGGTACTGATGAGCAGACGCAGATTGTTATTGACTCAGGAGCACTATCTGTCTTTCCAAGTCTCCTTTCTCATCATAAAAACAACATTCAGAAAGAAGCAGCATGGACAATGTCCAACATCACTGCTGGACGACAGGACCAGATTCAGCGAGTTGTAGACCATGGTCTTGTACCTTATCTCATTGGCATTTTGAGGAAGGTAAACAAAAATTACACTTACTATGTTGAGGCTTTTGCTGTTACTACTACCATTTATACTATATGTATAATACCCTGCTTTTACCTTCACAGGGGGATTTCAAATCTCAAAAGGAAGCTGTGTGGGCTGTGACCAACTACACAAGTGGTGGAACAATTGACCAGATTGTGTATCTCGTTCAGGCTGGTGTTGTTGAACCCCTGCTGAATCTCCTCTCTGCTAAAGACAGCAAAACTGTGCTAGTTATCCTGGATGCTATTTCTAATATCTTCTTGGTATGTGGATGCAGCATACTCGATCGTTGTCCAGGTTGTTGCTAATGGTTCTCCAGTAGTTGGTGCCATACATCTCTCCTGAGGTTGTTCCATGCTTGTCTGTTGCAGGCTGCTGAGAAGATTAATGAGACTGAAAAACTTTGCCTCATGATTGAGGAGTGTGGGGGTCTAGACAAAATTGAAGCTCTCCAGTCACATGAAAATGAACAAGTGTACAAAGCTTCCTCCACCCTGATTGAGAAGTATTTCTCAGCAGAAGTAAGTGGCTGCAGGATGGGTTTTTCCTGCTTTTCTGTTCTAGCACTGACTGCTAGGTTAAAATGCTACTGCTCTTTCAAAACTCTCTTCTTTTTCTCCTAGGAGGAGGAAGACCAAAATGTTGTACCAGAATCTACTGCTGCCAGCTACACTTTCCAAATTCAGGGCAATACTCCAGATACTTTCAACTTCTAGATCTTGCATATACTGCAATGCCTACAAGTCGTTTGGCACACAAATGACTGCCACCTCTTTGTCTTAATAGTTCCTCTTGTTTTTACTGTGGTTTTTTTATGTGACCTGTAGCACTTTGTCCAACTGAAACATACTTGAACAGTTCAAAACTGTACATATTATGTGAATTTCTAACTGTAAACTTCATTCTTTCTGGGATATACTTGTAAATACTTGCTCTCTTTCTGGCTCTTACTGACCCTGTCAGGCATAAGAATGCAAGTGGGCAATACAGGCTTCTCGCAAAGCATGAGCCACTACCCTGCAGATCTCTTCATAACCTATTGCATTCTACATAACCTGTTTCTGTAATCAATACACTGAGTAGGCTTTTAAAGAGGATTTATGTTTGAACTTCAATAAAGTGATATCAATGTATCAAATTGAACTGTGTTAATTGCTCTCTTAAAAGGTGACTGATATGGTAAGTATACTTCATCAAAAATATATAATGGCAGGGATGCAGGCAGGAATGCAGGCCTAAACTGTGAAAGATTCGGTTCTCAAGGTGGTGGGTTTAAAACATCTTGGTCACTCCGAGTTCTTGACTTCTGTGTGTAGCAGCCTTCTTGTTACTGCCTAAAAAACGAACTGCTGCTTCTCTCTAGCTCTTACAGAAATCTGGTTAGTAGTACTCCGTTCATGAGGGAGCTAAACTATCTTCTGCCTTTTGGACAAATATTTAAAGATTGTAGTAGCACTACTTAACCGCAAGTAATAGTGCAGAGGAGGTTGTAAGTACAGTGGTTAACCACTTGTAGGTATGTTCAGGTAGCCTTAGCATAGAGCACAGAAAATGCTTTGAGGCAGTTGCCTGCTCTAGAGAAGAAAGAAGAAAGCCTTGCCTTAGATTCTGTTGTCCCCTGTAAAATCATGACTTACAGTAACCTACCCTGTCTCTAAAGGTGGTTGTACAGGGTGGGGCTTGAGGGAGTAGTGGGTGGAGAGGAAGAACTGTAGTCCTGTTTTCCAGCTTTTTGGAAAAATTTGGATCGAGCTATTTCATTAACTAGAACCTCCCAGGAGTCAATGTGTCTGAATAACTATATTGACTCAGCTCTCCAAGCTTCTCTTGTGATCGTGCAGGAGAGGTCAGTTTTTCCTAAGCATGACTGTATTTGAAACAGCATGTCACTTAGAATTCTGTCAGGTATGTCTTTAATTATTAATAAAAGGTTGGGGGGGAATCTAATGTGTAGGCAACTCTCCTGGAGTTCCCATAGGCTTTGCTTCTGCCTTTATGGGGGGAGCGGAATAAAAAAACCCCACAAAAATATAAAACAAAATAAACCCCTTGTATTCTAGTAAGTGAACCTGATGAAAGAATCTGGTTTGGTTTTATGTATACCTGCTGGTTGTGTGCTTTCAAGTCTCTTTTAAAGTGCGTATAAGTGGATTTGGCTGTAACTTCTTGTTAAACTTTTCATTAAGAATATGTTATCTTGAAAGGATGCTCTTTCTAAACCTAGACTAAACCTATACTGCTACCAAAGACTTCTTTAAATGAGTTATTGCTAATGTGGAAGATGCCACTCTTGCTTCTGTTACTGTGGTGCAAGTTCACTGCTACCTATTTCACATTTGCTTGTGAAAAATGGTACCGTCCCTGACTCGGGGCTGATGGTGACATGTCCACCCATGTGGCTTCTCTGTGGGAGCTGCTTGCTTGGATCTCGGGTGCTGCTGGATGGTGGTAATGTTACAGAAGGTAGCGGATAAGTTGTCTGCATATATGTTCATATCCCTTCTTATGGTTAGCAGCAATAATGTTTCCTGCAGAGCAATCGCTTGTGAACTCACCTGCATAAGCATGCTTCCGCTGGGCAATTTAAGCTGTATGAGTTCCTCCATCCAGCTCAGAAGATGGTTGTGAAACACTTACACTGCTGTCACTGGTGTATCCACGGGGTTGCACTATTTGCATGTCGCAAAAGATATTGTCTTGCAAAAATCACAGTATCCTGAGCTGATTAATGCTGACTTCCTACTTCTGACTGTACAACTGCAACTGCTTTTTCTTTACTCTGAAACAAAGCTGCAGCAAGTAATAAGCTTTACAACAGGAGTCTCGTCTTCTCCTTGAGAAGTTGCTGTCGGTGTTACCAACCTTCTGCCTCCATGCCTGTGCTGCCAAGCGAAGGGCGAGACGAACGGTGGCTGTGGCGTGTCCCCAGCCTTCTGTGCTAATGGGAGAGACTGCGGGTGGCACCCAGAACCTGCAGAAGAAGCTGTAGACAGCGCCAGACTGAGGAGCAGAACGCGAGTCTAACGCCACAGATACTGCAATGCCCTTGGGACCAGATTCTGGTATTATCTTAGCGGTACCCATGCAAAGTAGAAAGAACCATCTGCCTTGCAATGCTGAAGCCTTTAATGTTCTGGGGGGA